AAAAAAAAAAAAAAAAAAAGAAAGAAGGAAAAAAAAAGAATTTGGACAGATGTAAAGGGGAAAAAGGGTGGTTAGGGAAAGGCGATGTATGTATACCCGTTTGTTGAATGAGAACGTTTGTTATCGATGTTGGCGTTGGTGGCATAAAAGAAAATAAAAAATATTGGCTCGTTGCTGAAGCAATAAATGTTAAGAATGGAATTATTTCGCAATACCATTGCCAATAAAATATTTATTGAAAAATTCAATGCACAAAAATTGCTTATACATTGATGATAGACCCTAAAAAAACATTTATGAAAAATGCCACGTTTGAAAACGTTAAAAAAAAACCAATAATGTTGTTTTTTTTTTTCTGCGTTAGATCTGGGAGAAAAAAATAAACTTTTTTTTTCCCACTTCTATTTTCTCTCCAACTGCTCCCATTTTCTCTGAACTATAATTTAGAGGGGAAAAAATTTTGAAAAAAAAAAATAAAACTATACAGTTTTTGCAGTATACTTTCTCATCATTACTTATATAGTTATTTGCCATCAGTCGGCTTCTTTTTTTTCTTTCATTTATCAAAGTATTAAAAGTTGACAGTGACAACTGTCACCTGAACACGGCTAAATTCCGGTGTAACAGTGGATTTTGCTCCCAATTGCCACCATCATCTAAGCAGGAGGCATGAAATAACTGACGGTTACCGGCACCGGACAGTGACCGTCAAAACCCAAACCGGCCGGATCCCGCCAAATCTCGAGACCTTTCTGGAGGTCTCGGCGACCGGCCAAATAGAATATCCTCTTGCATAGTCGCCGCCAACACGACACGGGTTCTCTTCGGCACCCCTTCCCACAGTAACCAACATTCCCTGTTTACTTCATGACGAACGGCTTCAAGCACGGAACAGTGCCGATATCGCAAATGAGTCAGCAAAGTAGTACGAAATCGGAACAGCAAACTAAAGAATTTTTGCGACGGACATTTCATACAGTCCATTAGAGAAGTTAACGAGAAAAGAAGGGGGAGAAAAAAAACATAAAAAGCGAATAGAATTCATGAAGTTATATGAATTGGTATTTCTAAAATATCTTTTTCTTTTTTTTTTTTT